TTTTTTTGTTTATTTGGTTTTCATTTTCTTTTTTACTGTCCTTCCCTCGTCCTTAGGATAGATCCCCCTCCAGCACTCGGTGCTTCTTTTCTTCGTATTTGCTTCGCTTCCGGTTCCTTCTTGCCTTCGGCACCCGGCTAGGCCTAAATTATGCAGCGTCGAGCTTGTCCTTCGCACGCTGCCCCATAAGGTTAACCAAGAGCTCCTGCAGCGGCGAGACCTCCTCACGTGGGATGAGGTCAAACTCCCAAACAAAATACATGAAGTGCTTCAGCGCTGTGTTAAGGTGCGACTCCTCCTGCAGCTCACGTATTTTCGCAAAGTGCGAGTAATACACGTGCGCATACACACGAAAAAGCCGCTTAAAGCAGACCTTCACACGTTCTACAAAGTCTGGTGGGTAGGGGTTACGATCCTCTGATGGGAAAATGCGTTCATCGTTGATCTGTTTCTCGATCCACTCCATCAACAGCCGCACATACTCTGGCGCACTAACCTTGGTTGCCTTTGGGTACTCCGGTGGGTCTTTCCAGAGGTACTCGTAACGTGGCCCCGACGACATGACTGGGCAGCTGCTGGTCGTGCAGAACTCCGTGAGTGAGCCGTACAGCACATTAGTGATGTTGTAGAAGTCGATGGTGTGGACGGAGAGCCAGTGGTTGAGGTCGGCACCCTGTGGAAGACGTACCGCCTTGCTGAGATCACCTGAACGGACGAGGGATTTGGCAAACTTGTGCAAGTTATACCGCTCTGTGCCCTCCTTGTGTTTCTTTTTAGGCTTGTATGTGCGGTCCGAGTCGAAAAGCTTTACCTTGAACTTTTTCATTTGCCTAAAGTCACCCCCTCACCCCCCTTTTGAAATCTATTGTATATATTCAGGGGCGGGTATTCCATTTGGCATCCATATTGCCGTCAGAAGTGGGGAGAAGAAGTGAGTAACTAGCCAAGACAAAGTCGCCGTAATTGCGTAAACAGACGCACGAACACAAACAAAAATACAAAAGCGAAAATTGCAGAATAATAACGCATAAATTGGCATTCTGCCACTTCGTATAGGCACTATATATATATATATATATATNAAAGCCCACGAGGTGTATGTGTGTACTTATGTGTATAGTACAAAAAGAGCAGCCGAAGAGGCCTGTCTACACTACCAGGCACGAGCACACACACACACACACACACGAGGGAGAATAGGAAATTAAGAAGAAACGGAGGGTAAAAGTCCGCCCACCTCAGACCCCAACCACTTCATCCTACTTTCCACAAGGATCTCCTTGAAAAAGGGAACGCAGTGGTTCAAAATGCTGGTAATAAAAGCGAAGAAGAAAAAAAGACCACATGCCCAACGCAAGACGTGCAATAGATGCAAAGCCGTGTATATAAACCCTTTCCCTATATATATATATATATATATATATATACAGAGAGATAGATATACATATACATATACATATATAGATATATTTATACCAGCATATATAAATATAAATATATAAATACTGTTTCTCTCACTGCACCGTAACGCTCTTTGCGAGGTTCCGCGGGCAGTCGACATTGTGTCCCCGTCGCACAGCAAGATAGTACGAGAGAAGCTGCAGCGGCACCACATTGATGATTCCCTGCAAACAATCCACAACTGTGGGCACCTCCACGCAGAGGGTTGTTGCGCTCAGAATCTCCGCGTCCTTCTGCGTAACAATAGCCACCACACGGCCACCGCGTGCCTTCACCTGTTGGACGGCGTTCTTGCTGCGCTCAAAGTATCGGTCATGGGCGCAGAAGGCAACCACCTTGGACTGTGCGTCCACCAGCGCGAGCGGGCCATGTTTTAACTCACCCGAGTGAATGCCCTCCGTGTACACGTAGCTCACCTCCTTCACCTTCAGTGCTGATTCCAGCGCTGTGGCGTAATCGTAGCCGCGTCCAAGCACGAGGATTGTCTGTTCGTTCTGCCATTCATCAGCAAGTGCGACCACAGCGTCGTGTACGTCCTTCAGGCAGCGCGCAATGGCGCCCGGCAATGCAGAAAGGCCGCTGATGATCTCTGCCCGCCGCTTCTGCAGACGTTTGCCCTCCTCTGTCAACACCGTCTTCACGTCGTTGCCATGTCCACTTTCCTGGCTCAAGAGCAAAGCAAACAGCGTGAGAACAACCATTTGCGACGTGTACGCCTTGGTCGATGCGACGCCGACCTCCACACCGGCGTTAAGAAGTATCGCGTGGTCTGTCTGACGCAACACGCTCGAGCCTGAAACGTTTGTCAACCCAACAAGCTTCGCGCCGCCAGCCTTGCAGTGCTGCAACGCCATCAGCGTGTCGGCGGTTTCACCTGACTGTGAGACAAACACGCACAAGTCTTCGCGGAAAACGTGTGGGCATCGATCCATAAGATCCGGCGCGTTCTCCACCATGATGGAGATGCCTGGCAACAGCTCCTCGAAGATGGGTCGCGTGGCAAGACAACTGTGGAATGACGTGCCGCATGAAATCAACACAATTCGGCGTGATCCCCGCATGGCCGCCACGGTGCTTGCATCCAAACCATCAAGATGCACAAGGCCCGTTTGGAAGTCAATGCGTCCACGCATCGATCGCGTGACACTGTCGGGCTGCTCGTGTATCTCTTTCAACATGAAGTGCTCGTAGCTGCCCTTGCTGAGGGCCTCCAGTGAGTGGTCAATCGTCTGTGCTACACGAGTGATGGGAACTGCCGCAGAAGCAGCATCACTAGAGCCAGCGGTGGTATAGAAGTCAAGGGCACCGTCGTGAAAGTGTGCAATATCGTCATCATCCAAGAATATCACCTCTCGCGTGTGGTCAATGAAAGAATTCACGTCGGAGGCGAAATAAATCTCACATGGTCCTAGCGCTTTTGTGCCACTCTTGCTGCTGCCTCCTTCTCCTCCTCCTTCACGGCGGATGCCGACCATCAGCGGGGAGCTCTTTCTACAGGCAATGAGTTCGCCAGGGAAATGTGTTGACTTGATTAAAAGCGCATACGCGCCCTCCACCATCGCAGTAACTTTCGTCGCGAGTTGTACAAAGGACAAGGTTGGTTCCTGCTTAAACACATACTCAATAAGCACAGCAATCACCTCCGTATCCGTGTCACTGTTAAAGTGGTAACCCTTCTCACACAGCATCTGTTTGACTGGCATGAAGTTCGTCATGATGCCATTGTGCACCACCACGAACGCCTTGTCATTGCACAGCTGCGGATGACAGTTCGCCACCGAAGGGGCACCGTGCGTCGCCCAGCGTGTGTGTGCGATGCCGATGTGTGTGTCGACGGCCGCATCCGGATCCACTGCAGCAGCATTTTCCGCGCTAAAGACGAGCTCACGCAGACTTGCGATATTGCCGACGCTGCGCAGGAGCGCGGGGGGCTGGTGCGAGTCACGGTGGTCAACGCAGAGACCGGCGCTGTCGTAGCCGCGGTACTCCACCCGCTTCAGGCCGTCGAGTAGCACGTTAAGGATATCGCGAGTGGTGCGACGGAAGCGAAAGTTAATGTACGCAAAAATGCCACACATGACGTTTTGTTGTTAATGCTATTGTTTATCTTCACTCCTCTTCTCTTCTCTTCTCGTAGTTGTGTATTATTATAGTTGTTCTTTTTCTTCGTCTTGTTATGTGAGTGCGGAGAGTTAGTCTGTGATTCCTACGGCTGCGGGAGGCAAAGCGCCCAACGGCCACGTTTTGCGGGCGCAAATGAAAGGGAGCCACCAGACAAAAATAGCCACCAAGCAACGGGAGCGGAATACGAACGCGGCGAGGAGGTGCCGCGCGGAGACAGACAGACAGACAGACACACGCACACACACACACACACACGCACGTCACTGCAGAAAACAGGCGAACAAGCGCACTAACACTTCCCCACGCTCTCACACACACACAGAGAGCGACAAACACAAAAGAAAGAAAAGATAACCATAGCCAAGTGGCCGTTGCATGCCCATTGATCATGACAAAAATAAAAAGCGGTACACAGCCACGTGTGCCACGCCGAGGCGTGGCTACTCTGTGTAGAAGATTGGCTGCTCGTCGTCACTGCAGACGTGCCAGCCGTTCCTGTTGACGCCGTGTGCGCCGCCGCTGCGTAGGCGCGCCACACGATTCCCGCGACCGCAGCCACAGTCTAGAAACTTGCCACAGTCGCACGGCTCGCGGGTGGGGAGGTTCATGCACGTGAAGACGCACCTGCGCTCCTTCAGGCGAAACCAAACCATGCGAAGGATTGTGAACTCCGAGTGCCGCAGCGTGGCACGGGCCCGCCCCGTCAGCGACGGTGATGCGAACGTGACGCAGTGCACGCTGCTGCTGCCGTGCAGGAGGTTCTCGTCGACGAATATCGCTGCCCCATCGCGGCCGCCGCCTACCCCGAAGAAGTTGTTGGCGCAAATCATGAACTCCCTGTTCGCCTCTTCCATCGCCCACGGGTACGTTGAGAGCACGGGGGGCGGCGGCGGCGGTGCAACGCGCTCCGGCGTCAGCAGCGGCGACGCACACGGCGACATGTTGCTGTTGCCCGAGCGTTGCATCCCCACACGCTTTCCGCCACCGATGGGGTTGTCCCTTTTATTCCCAGCGTAGTTATTCATGTCGGCGTACGTGAAGACGAACGTATCAGGGGTTCCAAAGAAGGCGTGCTGCGAGTGTTCTAAGCACGGCACCTCGGGCGTGAAGCAGCCAAGCACAATGTCGCGCGTAGCAGGAACTGCAGCTGTGCCGCCCCCACGTGTGGGTGTCACTTGAGACATCATCACAGGCGTCGAGGGCAGTGAGGCGGAGACGCCCTCGTTTACGACAAACACGCCGATGCCGCTCTCGCAGTCCTCATGCACCTTCTTCATGACACGGTAGAAGTTGTGCAAGGAGAATCCATCCTGCTCCGTATCGTAGCACACACGCCACGGCGAGTTCTGCAGACGGCGTGGCAGTGCGAGAAGGAGCTCGTGCAGCTCACAATGGGAGAGTGGCAGCGGTGGCGACGGCGGCCCATCAGGGAAGAGAGCCGCGGTGTCGAGGCTGCAGCTGCACGGCACCGACGCTGTCGCCAAGTCACCGGGAAGCACACGCACCGCCACGCCGGGGGGCACAATGCGGCACGCGCTGCGGATCTTCGGGTCCCTCATATGCGCAAAAAAAAAAACAAAAAAACGGGAGACAAGCCCACGCAGCGGGGGGAAAATAAGATATGTCGGTGTAGTTTTTTTTTTTCTTTTTATTTTTCTTTGCTTGGCGATGTGCCGCCAAAGAAGAAGCCGCCCCCTTTGTGTTTCTGCCTGCTTCTGTTTTCGCTGATCAAAGTTGCCCCTTCTTTCGTGTGGTCGGGAGGGACGGAGGGAGGAGAAGTGGGGCTCCTTTTTTTTTGTTGTTGTTGTTGTTATTGTTTGCTGTTTGCTGGTATTGTTGTTCTTCTTCGCTTCCCTTCCTAGACGTGAGTGCGGCTCCACGCGGTGTGTGGGAGAACTACCCACTTGGGCTGCTCACGTCCCCACACGCGCGCACGCAGAATTTGTATGCAGAGGTCAAACAAGAAGAGAAGCACAGAGAGAGCCCTATTCAACTCACTCTTGTTGTTGTTGGTTTCCTTATCCTTCATTGTGGGTTTGTGGTAAGAACAGAGGTGCCAACGCACAGCCCACACGACGCGAACTCAGCACATGCGTGTGCCGCTTGTGTGTCTGTCAAGCCAAGAAAAACCCACCAAAAAGAATATGACAGCACTGCGAGAGAAAATAAGAAGCCGCAGCTGCTTCCCCACCTATAACAAAAACAACAATCGCCACAACAACGACAGCAGCGGCAGAGGCAGAGATGCCGCATCATATCTTGTACCCGATCTCGTAGCCCTCGTGAACGGCCTGCAGGAGGTCCTGCTCCCCGTGGCCCTCGCCGGTGTAGCTGTCACGACACGAGCCTGCGGTGTAGATGCTAAAGTCAGCGATCATCTCGCCGCGCTGCCTTGCGCCGTCCTTCATCCACTCATAAATCCACGTGCCGACGGAGATGTTTGGCAGCATCCCATACGCCCACACGATCGTATCACACTCCACAAAGTACTTGCGTGAGTCCGGCGCCACCATGGATATATGCACGCCCTTCTTATCAATGTTCTCCACTAGACCGTGCTTGATGATGGTGCCGCCGTGGTTGCGAATCCACAGCTTCTGTGACCACCCCTTGCCGCGCGAGAGGTCGGCGTCCTTGTCTGCCTTGTTGAACAACACAATATCACGGTTGTTGCGCGGCGCCCGCTCAGCTGCGTGCGGGTCAAGACTGCCATCGTCAAGGTTGACGCCCCACTCACCGCAGTACTCCTCAATGCTCCGCGAAACACGCGGGTCATGCAGAAGGTATGACGCCACATCATGCGAGATGGCGCCGTTGCCGATAATCACAACGCGACGGCCGGCACGCACACTGCCATTGAGAATCTTCTCAAAGGGCACCACCAGCGGGCACTCGGAAGTACCGGGTATTTGGTGCGACGTGGCAGGGCGTGGGAGACTCCCACAACAGAGCACTACCGCGTGGAAAAACTGATGGTTCCGCGCCATCTCCTCTCGTGTGAACTCGGCGCCAAGGCGCACGTTGATGGTGGACTGGCGCAGCTGCCGCGTCCAGTACTCCAGCACGTCCTGGTAAGTCTCCTTCCCCGGGACCACCTTGGCGAGATTCAGCTGACCGCCGATGCAGCCTGACTTCTCAAAGAGTGTCACGTCATGACCGCGGCGCCAGAGCGTAAGCGCGCACGTCACACCTGCAGCACCGGCACCCACAACGGCGATAGATTTCTTGTACTTCGCCGGCGCCCACTTCCTCTCCCGTTCATAGCCGCAAATAGGGTTAAGCGCGCATGTAATGCGTTGATGCTTGTATAGCCGATTGATGCAATGATTACACGCTATGCAAGGCACAATGGCATCCGTGTGGCCCTCCTCTGCCTTGCGGATCATCTGCGGATCTGCCAGCAACGGCCGAGCAACGCCCACCATGTCGCACACGCCTTCCCGCAACAGCCGCTCCGCCACCGCGATGGAGTGCACGCGGTGCGTCGCCACAACAGGTATATCGCAGAGGCTATGGGAGTGTAGATGCTCACGTACGGCCCGCACACACCGCGCAAAGGCGGCCTGCGGCACACCCGACGCCAGCGTCTGAACAGGGGAGTCGTGCATGCCGACACTTGTGCTCAGCAGATCAACACCACCAAAGCGCGCGAGGGCCTCTGCAACTGCAATCGTCTCCGCAAGTGGTGTACCACCCACCTTCAGATCATGTACACAAAGCCGCACTGACACCAGGAAACGCTCCGGCTCCGCCAGCGCCTGCCGCACAGCCTCCAGCACACGCAGCGTCGCCTCCAGACGCCCCTCAAGCGAGCCACCGAACCGATCACGGCGGTTGTTCACGGCGGTGGAGAGAAAGTTATGCAGCAGCCCGCCTTCACTCACAGGTATCTCAATACCGTCGAAGCCTGCCTCCTCCGCGAGGCGGGCAAACCGCGCGTGCTCAGACACGATATAGTCGACAAGTGGTCCTGGCAGGCGCCACGGGTGGGCCTTCGGGAACGGCTGCACCGACGATGGCGTTGACGTGGAAGAGATGAACCAGCGTCGCCGTGCCGCACGGCCAGGGTGCAGCGCCTGAGCGAGAATAGTGCCACCCTCCTGGTGCACGGCGTGTGTCACGCGCGACAACGCCTTGGCCGCATCGTGAGTGCCGAGCGCCATGCTGTCGATGCGCCACTTGCCCAGACGCGACACGCCTAAGCCACCGCACACAATGAGCTTCGCGCCGTGCCTGGCGCGCTCCGCGTAGAAGCTGCCCAACGCGTCCATGTGGTCATCAGTCCACAACAGCAATTCCTGCTCCATGTTGAGGTACATGGGCAGCATGAGGAAGCGGTTGGGCAGCTGCAGGCGTCTCTTTGCCCCGCCGATGCATATGGGCGAGAACAGCGGGGAAGCCTTGCCAGCCATGCCAATCCGTTCTGGACCCACCAATTTGTTGTTGTTGCTGCTGTTCTCTCGTTATGCCCACTCTTCCTTATTTGTTTGGCTCGGTTCTTTTTTGGGGTCCTGCTTCCTCGCTGTTGCTTGGAATCCCCTCCCGCTCCCGTCTGCGCCGCGCTATTACGCTTCGACAGCACCTTTTTTTTTGTTGTTGTTGTTGTCCATTCAAGCAGGGCGTCATTTGTTTGCATTCACACATGCGTGTGTGCGAGTCAGACGAAAAAAAAAAACAGCACGGAACCAATCAAAGAAAAAAAAAACGAAACGAAAAGAATATCTTTCCACGCAAAGCAGCCACCGCAACGAAAAGTGACGACTAATGACAACAACACGAGGAGCACGCCGCGATGCGAAGATTCAATATCCAAGCGGTTGAATGGGGCACAAGAGGCGTCAAAGGGTGGAGGAAGTAAGAATGCGTTGCAATGCAGACACAACGTGAACGTCAGCCACAGACAAAACAAGGTTGCCCTACAAAACAAAAACAAACAGCACTAATAGAAACCCCTAATTTCCCCTCCCGTACTCATGTTCGCTTTCAGTCCCCGATTTCTGTGGGGAACGGCAGTGCAAACACTGCTTGCAAAGTGCACTGCTGCTCTCTACTCAGCGGTGCCGCCATCACATTCTCGTCGGGCCACACGTTCAGTGTCGCTCGCAGCCGCCGCATACGATCGGCGCACGTCATGTTCGCAGGACTCACCTCAATACGCTCCGGCATCACCGCAGGCGACGATGCACGGTGGTGGGTATGGGGTACTTTCAGCGACTGCAGCTGCTGCATCAGCGGATCCGCGTCATTGGCATCGCCCTCGTGTGGCACCGGCGGTGACAACCCCTCTTTGGACACAGAGGGGGAGGCGAGCCGCTTTAATTCATCGTCGCTGAGTTTGGGAAGCTCCGCGACAAGTTTTTCTGCCATTGCGCCAGGTGTGTCCAACTGGGCCCCTGTCCCTGTTGAAGGTGTCGTCAGGGACGACGGCTCAAGACGATACAACGCAATGTCGATATGAGAGTCGCGCAGTAGGCCGTCAGTGTGGGCCTCCAACTTCAGCGCGGCGGAAGCCACAACACCAATAACGCGTCGCCACCCGCACTGGCACGGAATTACTTTTTCTAGCCGCTGCTTCTGTCCACGCTGCGGGACAATGTCAATGCACACGCTGACTTGTGGTGCAGCAACACTGTACGAGTCGAGGTTCTTCACAACAATGAGATAGGAGCCGTCTGTGAGAGTCTCCTCACGGCTGAACCCTTCCTTGCGCTTGAGCACATACTGCGCGCCCATCAGCACAAACACTGGCTCCCCAACTTCAAATGCCGCCTTTGCCACGTAGCTGTCAACCTGGTTCAGCGGGAGGAGAATGTTGTCCTCCTTCTTCCGCACCCCTTCACAACGGTCCATGTAAGCTCGCATCTTTCCTTCACACAGCTCGACGAGGCTTTGGCTGTTGGGTTCATCGCTCTCCATTGCGCAGCGGCGCACATAGTTGAGGATCTCCACACCGCGCAGGTAGTCCTGGTACACAGCGGCGTACGCCTGTGCGAGGCGTGAGAGTTCTTTGCGGTACTTATTGCTTCCGCTGATGCGGACCTGGCTGCAGTCTACATCATACTCGCGAGCCTCCGTGCGGCGAAGGAGGTCAAGCCCCTCCGCAAGAAGAAGCTTTTGTGCCATGGTCAATTCCCAGTATGCCGGTTGTGCACAATTGCGTGTAGATGTGTGTGTGTGTGTCTCCCTTCCCGGATGCCTCGTCTGCCAACTTTTTCGTTCGGTTCTTTCCCGTAATCTCTTTCAGTGGGTGCAAATGTGGGGACTCGGTAACCCCCCTGCAGCAGAAAACGCATTTACACATTTGTGACAACCCCCCACCACCACCACCAAAAAACAAAAAGAAGTACGCGAAGAAAAAAAAGGGGAAAAAACAGCAGTGGTAGAAGCCGTCGTAGTGACAGTGGAAGCCGGCCACACACATATACACACAGACATATATATATATATATATATACCCTCTCCAAGGGGGACAGTGGAAGATGAGATCAGGAGTCATCTCTCCATCTCCTCTCCCGCTTATCGGAAGCGAAAAGCACACACACACACACACACACACACAGGCACACACCAAATGTATAATATTCCTCCATCTGCTTCATATACCGCTGAAGAAACTACTTCTTTTTTTGTGCTTTTTGTTGTCACTCTGCACAGAGGCTAAAGAACGAAGCACAGCTCGTATCAGAGTAGTTTCAGGCTTCCCGTGACGTGGTCGACGAGTGTTTTGGGTGCCGGTCCCACTGCTAGCACCGTCTTGCTTCCAGGCGCAATCTGTGTGCGCCCCGCATCACGAATGAGGGCGTGTGGCAGGCCCTCACGCTTCGCAGCACGCAGCGTAGCCATGAGCCGCTCCTCGCTCTCACACTGCAGCACCACCTTGGTGCTGCCAGCGAATGACCACGCGTCATACCACGAGACCCACGCCTCATCCAACCCCCTCTCACCACCACCACCAGCAGCAGCAGCAGCAGCAGCAGCAACACTACGGCGACGGCTTTGTACGTCCTCTACCACAGCCACCGCTGCGTGGGCGCACTGCGACGCAATCTTTCCTGTGCCCATCTTCAGGTCCTTCCGCACGACGAGCGCCATCTTGTGCGGCTCACCGTGCTGTGCCAAAAATGCGCCCATCTGCTGCCCTTTCCCACGGAGTAGATTGGTTGGCCAGCAGCCACCACCGCAGCCACTACGCGACCAGAGCAGCGTCACAACCACGCCGGTACTAAAGGAAACAAGGAAAGAGACCACATCAGTTGCAGCAGAGGACATGTCTCTTAACGTGTTGCCTCTTCAAACTCGAACCCCCCTTTTTCTCCTCTGTTGTTGTGTGGTTTTACTTTCACCGTCGTTCGTAACTTCTCTTTAGACCCTTGGTGTTTCTGTACAGCTTGCGTCCCTTGCGTCTCCTAGTTGTTTGGTTCCAGCAATGCTCACCACACAGACCCTTTTTTTGTTTTTATGCAGGCCACATCGGATGCAAGAAGCGAGAGGTGGAAACGTGGCAAGTGGCGCACGCAAAGCCAGCACATACGCACACACAGAGACACAGGTACACAGACAAACACACAGGTGTGTGGATACATAGAGATATGCACAGATAAAGAACAGGATAATGTGGGGAGACATAATACTATTTCACGACCCAAAAACAAACAAACAAAAAAAAAATACTTCTCTTTATTATTATCATCATTTTTTATTGGTAGTATCTTAAAGACCTCGCGGACTAAGTCGGCGTTTCATACACGTTTTTCTTACTATATACACAGCAACGGCTTTGTTTCGTGTCTTGACTCTCCAGATACCAGCCGATAAAGAGGCTTATATACAAATCAACACACACACACATATATATATATATATATATAGCGAATTAACCTTTTCTTTTTTTCTCTTCGCCTCACCTCCCGGAGTGAAACACGAGAAGTATGATTGTCACGTTGTCGGCGCCGTGCAAGTGATGCACGACGTGGTCAGCCAAACTGTTTGTCACATCCTGTAGCAAACGCCGTGGTGTTGTACAGAAGCTTGGTGGGTCCGCAGCACTACTGCGCCGCTTCCCCCTTCCGGCACCGCACGGCGGCGGAGGTGTGTCAAATCGCTCTTGGGCGTTGTCGCACTCACTGTCGGCGTCGACAGCGCCGTCGACCGCGCCACTTATGCTGCCGGGGAACTGTGGCACGACCAGATCACTTATCAGATCCCCACTCCAAGTCGGGAGGCGGTGCACCGCGGGTGGTGGTGTTTGCTCCACATTTCGCGGCGACCCAATCACGCTGCGAAGGTCACTGCCACTGAAACTCTTCACAGTTGCGCATGAGCGCACCAAAAAGGGCACCGACAGATCAGCGTTGTTGCTGCCATTGTTGTGATCACCAGCGAAGCCCATCTGTAAGAGGCGCGCACGCACAAACTCTACCACATCGGAAGTGGTCATGCAGTCCCACAATCCGTCGGTCGCTAGTACGAGGAATTCGTCGCCCGTCAGCTCCGCCTCATACACGTCAGCAACGTTGCTAACAATATTGCTTGTTACACACTTTCCGCTTTCCTCACGCAGGACATCAGACAATGAGCCTACGCGTGAACTCACGAAAAATGCTTCAGCATCAGTGATGTTTCTGCTCATTGTGGAGGAGCTAAATGAGAGTGGAAGATTCACCGCACCGCTACTGCTACACGCACCACAACTCGTATCTTGCAGCGGCGCCGTAGTGTCCACATGCGGTATGGCATCGTCGACGTCCGACTGCGTCTGCCACCGTTCTGGAGGCAATTTGTAAAGAAAATCGCCAAGCGACCGCGTCACCTCCAGCGCGCCATCGACGCGGTCACACTCGATGAAGCCGCCGCTTTGCTCGACACGTGTCTTCTCAGTGGGAAAGCTCGGAACACGATGATCAACGGTGCTCAGAAGCACGCTACCGTCGGAGATGCGGGCAAGAACAGAGCGGCTGTCACCAAGGTTCGCTATAGAGAGGTAGAACGGGGCAGCACCGTCGGTTGTCGTTGGCACGCCCTGGTAGAATGCCACGACATTTGCGGTTGTGCCGACGCGGCCTCTCTGCGATTCTGGTGTTGTGTCGTATAGCGTGCGGTCCAGGTGAATAAGCGCTTGCACAAGTGCACTGCTGAGGAAGCGTTGCTGTGGGAGAACCTCGGGTGGTGCCGTCTCTCCAACAACGTCATCCTTGTCTACCCGTGATGATGATAATACCAGTGTTGGTGATGATGATAATGATGAAGCTCGGTTGAGCGCCTCATTCAAGTGCTCCAGATAGCACAAAGATGCCATGTTCGCCATGCTGTCCCCATTGTGTCCGTCAAAGACGCCATACATGCTGTACGTAGGCGGAACCCCTTCAAGCACGGTACACTTTTCGGGAAACGGCACCTGCTCGTGGATGCACACAGCGTCCTCCTGCGACTTCCTGTGGCCACCCAGTGTGGTGTGTGCCACTTCCGTGATCACTGATGCTGCGCGGCGCGTGGCTACTGCCACACGAGATGCTGCGGTCGGCAATGACGACGAAGCAGAGATTGGCAAAGGCTGCTGGCATGGTGAAGAGACTTCAGCTATGGGATCACAGGGGCAGCGGCACGGCTGCATTGCGCCATGTAGGGAAGGAGAATGTAGAGAGTACCTCTTTCTGAAGGACGCGTCACTCGTCTGACAAGAGACACATTCGTCTGATGTCTGGCTCCTTACAGCAACACCTCTGGTGATGTTTTGGTTAATGTTCTGTAATGCAGAAATGAACGATGTAGACTCATTCATCGGGAGTGGGCGCAGCGGCGAGAAGCCACAAGCATTGCAGCTGTTTGTGAGTACGTCGAAGGGTGTGTGTGGCAGTGGCGGTGAGAGAAGCGGTGTGTAGGTCAACATATCATCATCGAAACTTCCACTGCTGACGCCATCACGGTAGCGCCTAGAGCGACGACGGTTGTACTGCTTGCCTCCTAATGGTGAAGAACTTCGACTGTCCAAGAAATCCGGCAACAAAGGCATTGTATCGAGAAGCGAGAAGCGGCCGCGGTGTGATGTTTCCTCCTCCCTTTGTGGCAGCAGCAGGTTCTGTAGTTCATGGTGTCGTACGGACCTGAATTCTGGGGCACCACCGAGCCTGGCACTGCAAGGCGAGGATGCATTGCTAGAGAGCGGCTCCATCGATGAGTGCATAGCCCCCACTTCTTCACCTGCTGCTGCTGATGCTGCTGCTATTGGTATTTCTATGCACCTAAAAGATCTCTCTATGACAGTTTTGCAGCAGCAACCAGCAGATCTAAATAAGAAAATGGCACAATGCGCTGAAAGAGCAGCAGCCACTTCTTTATTTCTTCCACAAAGGAGGGAAAGATACCAAAGAGAAATAAAAAAAGACAGAAAGGAGAATAATGTGTGCAGCTGCTGGTGACCCTTATTTAAACTGTCCGCCCAAATACGCATACCCATTTCTCCGTGCATTGTGCCACACAAGATCACAGTATAATTCAGCGTGTCCACCCAAGCGGCCGGTCACATTTCCATGGTATTGAAGGAGAAGCCAGTTCCTCTCGGCTGCGCCTAGTTCTGGAAAAGTGGTAGCAGAATCTCTTCAACAACAAACGACAAAGCCGCAACCGAGTCCGCAGTCACGAACACACGACCTGTACGATAGACCATTGCCTCCACCTTCATCTGTGGCTTTGCCACCAATGGGCACACCGTTGTTGCTTCTCCTGTCCTTGATGCTGGTGCCCCTTCGCCCTCTCCCTCTCCCTCTGCCGCTGCCTGATGTGGTGGCAGTGCCGTGCCATCCACAACAGCAGGCTCCGCTGAGGCAGACTGCAACGAGCGTGTTGTCTCACTCTCATGCCGCAGTCGCTTTCGCCAAAAAAAGTCATCCGCATCCTCGCCGTTCTTCTCAGCCGTGTGTGGCACCGCCACAAACATGCTACCCATTGGCATTACAGACATCATCTCACTACCAAAAAACGCATCAGCCTCGCACTCCTCTTTCTTGCCGCCACCTGCGGCTGCCGCGCCGCGCACAGGGAACGGGGCCGGCTGCTTGAAGCGGCACACAATACGCAGTGTATGGCGGTATTGGCGGCACGCCACAGAGCTGTCCGTCAGCGCGCGCCACCAGAGGCTGTTGTGCGTGGCCTCTCCCTCTCTTTCTCCTGCAGCGGCACGCAAAGAGGAGGACGCAATGTGGTCACGTAGCCTAGCCGCTCCAGTCTCCGATGTGTTAACGTGGCGTTCTTGCTGAGGCGACGGGACTGGATTCAGCACCACCTGAAAGAACACAATACTCTTAGTGTCGCCATCAACCGCTGCTGCTGCTGCTGTTCGCGGCGGCAGACGTTGCACCACATATGCATACACAAAGTCAGAAATCGCCAAAGCCGCCTCAACACAGCCACTCGACACAACACGAATGGCACCGCTCGTGTGTACAGAGGCGACGACGCCGCTGTACAGTGTGCCGCCGACGCACAGCAGTGGGAAGCGCAGGAGGCAGCCAGTCGCCTCCGCCGCAGCATTCCGTAGCAGCTCCGCGTTCCACGAACGGTGGAAGAGATCGAGCACGTCAATGGATCTGTGCCCAAGCTGAATGCCTATGAACACAGCGCCGACACTCCCCTCCATCCACTTCTACTAGCACAGCCACAGACAGAAAGAAAGAAAGCAAGGGAGACAGTGAAGCCCAATGCAACGCGGGGTAATGAGCAAAAAAACTGGCATGTACAAAGCAGTACCACACCAGCACCCACATGCAGTGCAACAAGCACACACACACACAGACACACAGAGACGCACACATAGATAGATAGATAGATAGATAGATATAGGCAACAACATTCAAAGCAGTTTAAGCAACTAGGCACCAGGACGATAAGCGGCACTCAGCATCCCAGGCACTGCTGCATGACTTCACTCCACCCTCTCCCTCTCTCTCTCTCTCTCTCTCTCGCTCCGTTTTATCTTCTTCGCACCCACAGACGCACACACACAGAGAAACATCGACACTTTCCTTCCTTCACAATAAAAAAAAAGCCCAGCGACACCAGACGCCGAGAAAATTAATTTCGTCTCGTATTACAGGCCCAATTCCATACGCAGCTGCTCAAGTTTTTTTGTGTATTCCTGGTGGCGTGCCTCCTTCGCCGCCTCCACAGCAATGTTAATGCGGGTGCGTGTCAAGCGGCGACGGCGCACTTTGGCCGTGCCGTCGCTTGCAGTGGCGCTCCACTTAAATGCGCCCTGGAGCTCCTCCTCGCGGTTGGGCCACCGTCCCGCGTACATCCACTCCCCTACGTCCCACAGCTGCAGCTCTTTGCGCACAAGCTTCGACCCGCCAGGGCGTGGCGTACTCTTGTCCACGTTGTCCTTTGCCCACCGCCACCCTGCTGTCGCTGCTGCTGCTGCTGCTGCTGTTGTTGGCAGTGTTGTTGCTGTTTTTAACATGGAATTGTGTGACACGACTGGCGCCACAGTACTGCGCATCTCCGCTGTTGCATTGAGCGTTGCCATGTCCACAACTACACCATTTTCGTCGTCATACGGGAAGGTCTGGTGCGGCATCCACCGCCGCCGTCCGTTGGAGTCAGTAACGCGCTCCTCATTCTCATACACCACCACTGTTTCCATCGCGTGGAACTTCTTCATGTCGTCCTCGAAGACAGCCTTGAGGTCCGCCAGTTCAAAACGGCAGCGATCGTCCTCCTGCAGGTCCAGTAGCCGCTGCGGCACCACACCGCTGGAAAAATAGGCCGCAAAGTCGAATGTGCCGCCGTTGTCGCGGAGTTGCATCCGCTTCTGGTTTACACTGCGGAATGCCTGCATGAAGCCGGCGGACTGATCACCCCTGCCAAGCTCGCTCAGGATGAAACAGTCGCGCAGACTCCGCTGCGAGGCCTGTTGCGCCGCCGCTGCGTCATCCACAGCATTATTCGTCTTCTCCTTAATGTCGAGACCTTCTTGGGTAAACTGCACGTACAGGCTGTCGTGTGCATCACCCCACTCGTACACAACAGAGTTACGCTGCAGTGGCTCCTCCATCGTGATGAGTCGTGTGAGTAACGCCGCATCCCTCGCGGCCTTCACATTCACCTCGCTTTGCTCCGCCACTCGCCACTGGTGCTCTTCTAAAATTTTTTGCCGTTCACACTCCACGTACGCTCGTCGCGTATCATCGTCGTCATCCTCCAGACTCCTGTCCTCAACACTTATCACAGAACTCGAACAGCTGCGGCGCTTTTTCTTCCGCTGCGTCTGTTTACGCGGAGAGTCGATGCGCACTGCCATAACACCACGCGAAGGCGAGGGTGAAGACGCTCTGCATTCATCAGTCACAACAGATGGCTCCTGGCGTTGTTCCTGTTCTTGTGCCAGCAGTTGTTGCGGCGGGCTTGATGTCACTGGTGGGAGCACTGCCTCGTCAAGCTCCACCCCACCCGTGAGACCCCACATGGCAGACATCAAAGGCCGTGCAATGTTCAAATCAAGCGCGTAGCTGCCAGCAAGTGCGCTCCCTATCCATCCATTTGGCAACTTCTTTGAGTTCTCCAGCACCTGTGGCATCACTGCCTTCGTCTTTGCCTCGGAAGGTGCGAGATGCCATACGAAGGGCAGCTTTATAGAGTAAATAAGATCAGTGCCCCCCATGGTGAAGAGCAGCTCGTTGCTCTGCGGCAACGAGACCAACTGGCGTGTTGGGGGAATAGGTTTCGTGCCACTTGCGATGTCGGGCGCAGCAACAGCACCAGGATTCGTCAACGTCATGAGAACAGTGTAGTCACGATTCGGGTCCATGAAAGTCAATGGGGGTGACACAGGCAGCGGCGCACCGTTCACTATACACTCCGCATCTTGTTGTTGCTCTTGCTGCACACGCTGCGGACTCTCCTCTTTGTGTCCTTGTTGGTGTTGCTCCGTTTCCTCCCCTTTCTGATGCCGTTCGGGTGTTGGTGAATCTGGGGGAGGTGGCCCCTCCTTTACCGGATCCTCCACCTCATCGAGCCACGCCTCCAGCACCTGCCGCTCTGACGTTTCAACAGCACTAGCAGTAGCCGATTTCTCCTCCAAAAGAGAAGAAGCACCGTCCTTGACAGGACGTGGCTCCTGACCAAGCAGGAGAATCACGTCATCGTCAGTGAGTGCGGCGATGCAGAACCACGACGTGCTGGTGTCCTGCACCAGGACATGGCGGCCCAGCGGCACAGCACGTACAAAGTGCTCCCGCAACGTTCGCGCACCTTTACCACTCCCGTCTGTGTCGCGGTACACGCGGTGCAGCTGCACCAGCTTCCCAGAGCAGCCGCTAAGGCTCCAGAAGCGGAGCCGTGGGCGGCCAATCATGACGCTCGGTGGAAGCTCTTCGTGAACCGGCACGCGCAGCATGGCAGTGCCGAGATCGCACACATCCTCCGGTGCGCACTCACGCACAATTGGCGTCTCACTCAACACCACAGCCCGCAGTGGGGTGAAGCTCCACAGGACGCGGAGTTGTTGAACGTGCAGCTCCGCCTGCCCATCTGGGCCGTGAGCTCGGGACGAAATAAAAAGACTCAAGAGAAGCGTACCTGGCGATGTGGAGCTGTTTTCGTTGCCATTGCAGTGTTTGCAGAGCACCTGACACGGACCGACAAGACAGACGTTAGAGGCGAGACCGTCCTCTAGACGGTACGTGTGCGTTGCGCCGCCAGCGCCGCTGGCACCCCCACTGTTGTACGAGCCACACGGCACGGGCCGCTCTGTTCTGCTGTTAAAACAGCGATCATTGCCGGTGTTGCTCCTCTTGCTGCTTGTCCTGCAGAAGGTGGAGTGTGGCAAATCACCGCGACTGTCATCAAGCTGCATGTCCGCGGTGGGTGTGTCGACACTGGCGACGGGCGCTGTGAGCCTCACCGCACGATCACGCTCCACATCGAAGATGACCACCTCACCGACCTCATCCACACTAACAACAAACGGCTGGAAGTGTCTGTTGCCGGAGTTTGCCCCCATCGCTACAAGGGCGAAGGTGAGCGCAACTACCTTATTTTTGGCGTGCAGCTCGTGGTGGAGCACAAAGTGGGCAGCGGTGCTCAGCACACACACACTAAAGCGGGTTCGATCGGTGCCACATGCCGCCGCTACGTATCGATTCCATTTTAGCGGCAGCACCCGTCCGCGGCTAAAAACAGACTCCGCACTGACACACAGGTATGCGTCCTGGAGCTGGAAGTTGTCACGGCACTCAACCGCCTCCCAAAGCCCTGTTCGCACGTCCGTGTACCCATCGCCATTCTTTTCGTCATGACCTCCATCCTTCACGGTGGGGCTATACGTATTTGTTATCGCCGCAGGGTCCAGGTAACGCTGGCGATACACGCGAATGCCGTTGCGGTGTGCTGTGATGAGCAAACCAGCCGCAGTGCATATCGACCGCACACGCCTATTGGGGAATGGCTCGAGCACAATATTTGCAGGACACTGCAGGTTTGGAAAAACAGGCACGTGGGAGTCGTAGTTCTTTCCTCTGTGGCACTTCCTGGTGCTGGCGGCACCACCGCCAGGGGAGTCGGGCCTGCTGCTCCTGCTGCTACTATTGCCACGCCGTGAACGAGACCGCCGGCTGCGCGACGACACGGACGACGAGCAGGAGGAGCCGCAACTCTGCGGACTGACGGCATCCGCATCGGTGCCAGGCGACTGCGGATTCTGCTGGTGTTGTTCTTGTATTTGTTGTCGCGTCTGCGGGGGGATTGAAGTGGAAAGATCAGCTCGCATGCTTCATACCGTCCACAACACACGACCACCAAGAAGAAGCCTTACTCCTTGAATATTTTCTGAGAGCTGGACGGTTTGTTTGTTTTTCTCCTTTGTAACTTCACTATCGCTATGTGTGTGTGTGTGTGTGTATGTGTGAGAGATCACGTCAAGACAGACACGGCGGCAGCAGATGCGGCACATCGACAGGAAGGCACCGAGGCAATCGCAGCACCGCACACAAAGGGAAGAAACAATAACCCCCACCCACAAAAAAAAAAGGTAACTACTTGTACTGCAGAAACAATAAATCAAACCGATACTCACGTAGACCGTTAGCTTTCCGTGGGCGAAGTGTTACTGTATTGTTTTCGACTCGGGACGATATGGGAAGAAGAATGGATATATCTGTGCCGCCTGCGTGCGCGAAGACGATAACGAGGTCACGAAGCACATTGGCCGCGTTCCCGGCGCCTCCCCTTACCCCACCAGGAAAATAGGTACCATCTGAGAGTGCAGAAATCTCCTTAACACCACTAGAAGCAGCGGCTAAATCATTGCATGGAGGGCACTCATAACTCAGCGAGGTCAAAGCACGGTGTTGGTGTCTCGACTGCATTGCACAGCGCCTTTTTCAAGCTTTTCTGCAGCTGGGTCAAAAATTTAGACTAACTAGTAGCTACAACAAGATCTCCGTCCGCGCATTACGTTTCAGCCCATCCCCCTCGGGCAGGGGACTCAGCCGTGCGGAATCACTCTCGTGGTGCTGATCCAGTCTCCGAAGCAGCTCCGACGCAGTGCCCTTCTGCCCGCACACACACGCCTCCACCACAACCACCGCCAGCCGCGCCGGGTCGCACAGCACCTCGACGCCACTCACAGAACGTTTCATTCCCTCGCCGCCTTCTTCCGCAACGCCTCACGCAGATAACATGTGGGGCACGGCGTGTAGAGCGCATCAACCACAGCCCGCGCTATAAACACACTGGTGCTGCACTCCCAACCGGCACACAAGAAGCACCAACAGCACAACATTAAAACGCCAGCTCAGCAGCACAAAACACAACGGTCTGCTGCACAGCACAGACACAATGACACAAAGTCACCTGCACCACTCAGGGGCTCTGAGCCTCATCCACTCAGTGCCACGTGCCTCAGAACATATCCGGCCCACGCCACAACTTTCCCTACCACCAACTCCACAGGAAGAACAGCATGAAAGAAAACAAAGCGGATAGTGCACACAGCACAACACTCAGGCAACCTGCACAACACCACGCAGCACATTCCACCCAAAAGAAAACCCCACACCCAATGAAAAGAGAAGGCAGCACCAGCTCCCCATCACCGCAGTCGGGGTTGTCCTCACGTTCGGTGCGACGGTGCAAGGGAGCAGCAGTGCGTGCAGCAAGTAGAAAAGAAAACCGAAAAAGAAAATGAAAAAAGAAAAGAAACAGCCCAAGGGATGACCATTTGTCCAGTGCGTCTCTGCCCACGGAGGAGCGTCATCAACAGCAGCAACGTCTTACCAGCCGTCCACAGCGCAGCAGCGGTCCCCTGCACTCACCGNGCAGCACCAGCTCCCCATCACCGCAGTCGGGGTCGTCCTCACATTTGATGCGACGGTGCAAGGGAGCAGCAATGCGTGCAGCAAGTAGAGAAAGAAAACTAAAAAAAGAAACAGCCCAAGGGATGACAATTTGTCCAGTGCGTCTCTGCCCACGGAGGAGCGTCATCAACAGCAGCAACGTCTTAACAGCCGCCCACACACATCAGCGGAGGGGCGCCCACGACGCCGACTCCCAACACCGAGCTGCACAGCACACACACACACAAAACAAAGAAAAAGAAAAAGAAAACTTACCAGCAGTAAGAACTGCATTGCCCAAGAGAGAAAAGAATGTGCGTGAGACATGCCCACGGAGCAAGAAAACAATATGTGTTTAACACCCACCAGCCCACACAGACACTCAGTGCGCCATGATCGCAGAGGCGGCCACGACGGCCAACACAAGCGGCATCAACGCGGAGGCAGCAGCACTGCCATCAGCATTCAGCTTCAGATCAAGGTTCTTGCCGTTCGCCATCACAATTTTCTTTCTCTCCCCATGAGTTTCTGACTCTTCAGCTTTGACGTTAGAGTCCCCTTGTACTTTGTTGCCATCTTGAACAATAGATGCTGTGGATCCATGGCCATCTTCAGTGATAGCTTGAGACGGAGCATTGCTGACCTCCAGCTCTAAACTGGTTGTGTCATCACTGGTCGTGCTGCTCTCAGCCCCCGGCAGCATGGTGGTGCACACGTCCTCGTACCGCGGGCAAGCAATGGTGCCATCTGCACCAAAATCGCCTTGCACCTTCAGGAACTGCCCCTGCGGGCAGAAGTAGTGCCTGCTGGCACCAGCGTACTTCACGTACACCGACCCGGTGATGCACTTTATCTGTACGCACACATCAAGAACCTCGGTGCCATTTATCGTCAGATCGTTGCCCTTCACACACCGCGAGTTCCCACCGACGAGACTCCCAGGCATCTTCCTCCGGTCGCCATTAACGCAGCTGTATCCTTTGCTCGCCACAATAATGGGGCAGTAGTCCATCATGTCCTCCCGCCTGCCACCCAGCTTCTTGTCAAGTTTGGTCTTCTGGAAGTAACTGTACTCGGCAGGGATTCTTTCATTTTCTTCAATGACGCACTTCCCCAACGCCTGGCGGTCAGACGTACACCGCAGTTTATCATTGTAAGAGCTGTCGCAGAACATGCTGAGATAATTAGACGCGCCTTCCGTAACGCAGCTCTTGTTCTGCAGAAATTCACAACCAACCTTCCTGCCCCAACTCATCGTCTCTGCCTTCGAATAGTCAACCTGATAATAGCCCATGTCAGCGAACGCTGAAAGTGTCAGTGCCGTGTAGTGGCCAGCGCCCACAAGACCGGCCATCAGCTCGTCCTTCGCATTGCGCCGCTTCCAGTGGGAACTCACACCAAACTTTACGGACAGCTCCCCGTCGGTCCAGTTACTCTTTCGACGCCGTTGACGAAGAGCAGTGCGGGAAGACACCTTTTCCTCTGCTTCAAGAGTAATGGCTGACCTCAAACCCAACGGGCTGGTTTGTGGCACTTCCGCTGACTTCCCGTCCTCTGCCCAGGACATACTGTCCTCCAGCTCCATTCCATAAAAGTTCTTGCATTGGTAGTGATACGTTCCCCACATTCTTGTATTCCACCCATCAAAAACGTAGATCTTTTTTCCTCGGAAATTACCTTCGGACACCTTCCTTAGAGGTTTATCCATGATATCCACATTGAACCCCAGGGTGTGCGCAATCTCGTGTGCGGCGACGCGGACGGCCTGCGACGTGCGGGCAATGTGGCGCGGGCTGTAGTTGATCACGCCAACCAGCGGCCGCCCATCGGGCTGCACCGCGCACGTCGCCGCCCACGCAAAGGCTCCATCAACCGTCGGCGCAGCAGTGGCGTACAGCACCATGTCAGCGTTGTCGACACCTTCAGTGTGGTGATTCTCAGGGATCTTGAACCGGCCACAAACACTCGTATCAGTGTAGTTTGGCACAACGATGGGGGTAATCAAGGGCAGAACGGTCAAGCGATCCGTGTGGAGCTTCACAGCCTCGGGAATAATCGTGTGCTCGTATATCTCCTGCTTCTTGGGGGTCATGATATCCCCCTTGGTGCAGCTCATCTTTTCACCATATACATCAACATACTGTTCATTTTCTTTGTTGCATTCGGGCCCCTTTACTGAATCCACCATGAACACCTTGATGCGGATGGGCTTGTATCCACCACTGGTTGACGAAGGCATGGGGGGTTTCTTAAGAAACTCGGCAGTATCCGTCTTCTTATGGTCACGTGTTTCTGCTACCTCTGACACTACCCCCGTAAGCTTTTCAACGTGTTGCAATCCTTGGATAATAGCCGGCTTTCCGGCAAACCAATTGATGTCGTCGTAGATGCAGCGGTGGTGCTCCGTCATCGCGAGTGAGCTGCCGGCGCAGTGCACAAGGAGCAGCAGCGCGACGCCCAGGAGGCGGCACACTCGTTGAGCGTGGTTGTTGGTGAGCATTTTCATTCTTGCTGGGAGGCATCACAGAAAAAAGTTAAGCAGACGGAAGATGAAAGAGTGAGTGGTGGGGAGTGTCCTACAGCAACACAGCGCCCAGGGTCCAGCACAGCAACCCCGCAGCAGAGTGGACGCGCCGCCTCTCACCAGTGGCCACTACCATGTGCCCGTCGCCTGCAGCAAGAACAGCACAGCGGCCGTCAAGTGCCACAGGGCACACAGGAGCAACACCAGCGCAGCTATTGCGGGTAGAATGGGGGAATTACGCGAGACACCAGCATGATGTGCAGCCCGCGGGTCGTCTCGCTTACCACAGTGGTGCCCCACAGCCCGCAGGTACCTGCGCGCAAGCAGCTCCGACCGCAGCCATAATGTGCACGCCATTATGAATAGGACCGGAGCATTCGCCAGGTACAGCGTCGCCCCCGAGCAGCCAAAGCCAACGCGTAGCGCGCACAGCGACACGGCAGGGAGGAGGAAGAGCCACCCTGTAACAAGCACGTCCTGCAACATGTTGCCCCTTTATCCTCCCGCCGAACTGAGAGGGAAACACAGGGAAAAGAAAGGCAGTAGGGACGGCGCACACGCGGGCAGGAAGTTCGCATCCGCATGCGCACAAACATCCACACAAAAAAAAACAAAAAAGGTGAGGGAGCAATCATAGCGTAAAAGGGGCCGTCCTCCACACGGTGTTGGACAGAATGGGAACGCACAGCAGAGCGGCACGCCACCGCACTCCTCTCTCTCCCCCGTGCAGGGATGAAACATCCTCAAAAGGCAGCCATCGTCGCCCTCTCAGTGTGATCCCACAACTGCAGCCCACCCTGTGAAGATGCATCCGACGTCAATAAGAAAGAACAGTCACTCACGAGCGCCCACTCACTCTATTGTTCACAGGCAGCGTCGGCTTCCGCGCGGCGTAGCACGCACGCCACAGCGCAAAGAGAAGATCCGCATTAGCCACAATCTCCTCGCGCGTTGCCGCGACGCTCTCGACGTCGGCCACCCCCACCATGTCGTACGCCACAACCATCGCCTTGATCGCCTGCACGACGGTGGTGCAGGGGTGTAGCGGAAGCCCTTCCAGCGCCTCAGTGTGGAGCGGCCACCGCTCGCCGCTGCGCCACGTTGCGCCCACCGGCTTCTTGGAAAGGTTGACGACGAGCCGCTTCACCTCGTGGAAGCCCTCGAGAAACACAACAGCGGCTGTGGTCCCGCAGCGCAGGCGGTCTTTGATCTGACGGAAGAGCGGCATGTCGGTGTAGGTGTTCAGCACGATGCCCTTCAGCCTCGTCATCACGAACGCCATCGCCTCCTCTACCGGAAGCTGCCGCAGCACACTGGGTGCGAAGAGTGTGTGTGACGCCGTGCCGCTTATTTCATCGTCTGCACCGATGCCATCCCCACGGTCCAGCGAGCGGCGAATTACGTCCCGTTCGGCAATGAGTTTTTGTGCTCGCGCAAGATCCTCCTGTAGCTGCCGCCGTTCTGCCTCGTGTTGCCTGCGCAGCTGGTCCACACGCTTTTGCAGCTGCAGTTTATCGAATATGTCCGCGTGGGTCTCTTCTGCAAGACGGAGGCGCGCCTCTACATCTTGCACCTCGCGCGCCAGTGTGTCAAGGCGCCGCTGCTGGCAGAAGAGCTGCCAGAAAAGAAATCGGCGTTGCATGGTGATCCGGTGAGAGTGTGCCTCCTTCGCGGTTGCCATTGCACGCAGTGAAATCATCCGGCGCCGGCGGTCGTACCAGCGGCGCCACGCCGTAAAGATGCGGCGGCGCTCCCGCTCCATTGTCACCTTCGCGTATGCCTCAGCGAATCCTCCTGCGTATGGTGCCCTTTTGGTGATGGGGCCAGCTTCCCCAGAAGAAACAGTGGCCTTCTTTGCTACGCGCTGAGCGTGGGCCAAGGTCCAGTCCTCGTACGCCTGCCGCATAACACGTTGCCTAGCCTTTGCAACCACAATGGCGAGCTTCCCCTCTGGTAGAGTGCCGCGTCGCATGTTGCCGTAGCAACGCCAGCGCGCAAAGAACTTCGACAAGAGCACACCAGTGGACACCCGCGTGAGTACGGTCAACACTTTATCTTGTTGCCTCCGCATCTTGCGGCACGAGACAGCTTCCTTCCAGCGGGAGAGCACCCTCGCCACCCAACTCAGGTGGGAGAAGCGCTCCAGGGCCAGCGCGATGAGTTGTCGACGGAGCCGTCGCTGTTCACGGTCGTAGAATCCACACCACATGGCGAAGTAGCGCCGCAGCAAATGAAATTGATGGCGCTCCTCAAGGTTGAGACAGATCTCCTCCTGTTGCCGACCACGCAGGAGGTGAGACTTCAGCCGCATGCGCCATCTTGTATAGTATCCAAAAAGTAACCGACGCGCATGGAGACGGCTCAGAAGTGCACTGTACTTCTGCTTGCGCTGCACCTCTTTGCGTTTTAGCGCAATTGCCTTCTGCTCCCACGCCGCCGCTTCTGTAGTATCTTGCGTAATGATATCGTGCATTTGGTTGATCGAATGCTGGAGTGCATCCTCCACCACGTTGCGGTGACCGCACCACACCTTGCTCACACCATTGCTGCCCAACGCGAGCACACGCATCGTTTCTAGTGTACCCACGCACTGGAGCGACACCACCTCGTGCCGTTGCGTCTGCGACTCATTGGGGTTTATGAAGGCCTCACGAATCACCTGCTCGACACCAAAGTCATCGTCGGGGTTTGCGCTCCACCGCTCCACCAGACCGTCGGCATACGACACCCACAAGCTGCGGGAGCCCTCGTGTGGCACCATATCGCGCACCGCGAGCTGCACAGGAATGCGCTTCAGCAACTTGCAGCTCTGCTGGAAGGCGAGCGCGGGTCGTGGCTCATCGCTACGCGTGTTCCAGACATTCACGTAGCCGTCCTCGGACGCGGAGAAGAGAAGATCCTCCATGACGACCAGCGCATTCACACGACTGGTGTGCCCGCGTAATGCCGCCACCTGCACGCCAGAGGCGCAGTCCACGGCGAGAATGCTGCCAGCCATGGAGCCGCAGAGCACAACGTTGGCGTCAAACGCGGTCATGCAGGTGAGCGCCTGGTGTGTCTGCGAAACACCGACGATACGTGTGATGGCTTCGAAGTTTTTCTCCTCCTTGTCCCAGCGCACAAGCGCCATATCGCGGGAGCCACTGACGGTGGTGCCGTCGGCCATCGCACAGAAGGCCACAACAGGGGCAGCGTGGAAGCGACCGGTAGTCACCTGCGCAACGCACAGATGGTCGTACACTGCGACGCTGCCGTCGTCGTAGCCGGCCCACACGTGGTGCAGCACCGCCGCCAGCGCGAGCG